TGGAGTAAAAGGTACAATATTTGCCTCTGAAATGTAGTATAAGTCAGAATAAGTAAGACTATTGTACTTTTATCTGATTACTGATTACTTTTTTTGCCTAAGGAAAAGGATCTGAACACTTCTTCCACCACTGCTAGCGTGGCTGTGAAGCTTTAGGTGATAAACACACAATAAACCAGGTAACCATGTAACACCCTTCAGCTGATTGGTCGATTAATACCATGCAAAAAAAGACTGTTTTTTGTGATTGAGAATGGGTTTGTCTTCAGAGCCTCACCACCCGCATTTCAGAGAAACTAATAAGGTTGCTCTGGTTGTCACAAACACGAGTGACTGAGCACAAACATCTTGGAAATGTCCCAGCATCACGGCTGACTATGAGGCCGCAGGAGGTTTTCTTGGAATAAAGAGGAGTGTTGGGTGTGACTTCCACATACTCCTCCCATAATAGTAATATATTTATTTGATTTTGTAATCTGAGAATCTTCCCCAAGTGATTCCTCCCAAGACTTATCACAAATGTCATTTTATTCAGGTAACGGTGCGTTTCACCAGTCGCCTGTCAATGGCGTCATATCCCCTTTGTGCATGCGACATCTGTTTGTCTGTGTTGCAGAAGCTGTCATAAATTGACTTTTTATCCAGTTTTAAGCCTCATTTTTAGGATTTGATACACTTTTTTAGATCTTGGTTGTTTTTAACTCTATATTTTAACCAGATGAAGCATTTTAGTCATCGGATGACTGGATCTTAAGATATCAGAGAAACAAGCTGAGCTAACGATAGCAGCAGCAGCAGCCAGACAGCGTTGGAGAAATGCTGATTAATAAGTTGAAACTGTTTTATTCAGTGTTTTTACCAGTTTGTTTGGCGCGGAGGAGACTAATTCTGCTTCTTGTAAAAACCTCCCGAATGATTAATACTGAAGGAATCTCCCACGATCCCACGCTATTTCACAAAGTCACCAAACTTTGTCTTTTGTTATTTTTCTGACATGAGAGACCCCCTAGTGGCAGACAATACATAGCGTATGTTCGAGAATTTCATTACCAGTGTCTGCTTTTTAATTGTAGTGCATATGACAATAAAGACCTTGAAACTCGAAACTTATAAATGTTGCTAAAATGTTTTACGCCATCCCACATGAAGATGCTAGATTAGCTGCCAGCCACAGTAATCAAATAGTTACTTATCTGGAAGTTGCTAAGATGGAGACATGTTGTAGTGAATGTAAAACCTTGATCTTCAAAGTAGCTGTAATAACTAATATCATACATTGCCCAATTTTAAAAACTCACATATCAAAAGGGCTGATTTCCAGAGGTCTTCTCAAACTGCTGCTCAAGTATTGGAGCAGAATTAGCGATTTTTGATTGACTTTCTTTAGAGTTGTGTTCACACTGTTACAGTTAAAACCTTAAATGTTCGTCTTTTTTGAATAAAATGGGTCCTTTTTCTCATTGTCTCTTATTACACCTGCACAAGCTGTCCTTAAAAGTGTGTGGAGTTTGATTTAATACTGGCAGAATAAAAAAAAAACAACAACAACAGACGTGTTTCCACCTCAGGCGCGACGTACCTTACGGAGCGTGTCCGGAGGGATGCTGTCCACGTGCGGGGTCAAAGTGTCTCCGCTCATTTTGGCCTTCTTGGAGATCTCCGTGCTGTCGCCGTTCGCTGCTGTGCCGCTCATCTGGACAGAGGACGCCAAAGGGTCAATTCACCCAAATATACAAAAACATATGGTCAAATCCTTAGTAACAAAACACCGTGCAGAAGTCTCAGATCTCCACTGCTGACACTTCTGCCAACACACAAATACACTGTGAAGTAAATCTTACTTATGGAGCTTACAGAGTTAAATACATCTCAATGAGACCAACACAGCAGTGAGTTGAGCTAAATGCTAATGTCAGCGTGCTAACATGTTGATATTTACCATGTGCGCCGTTCTAGGTTGTGTGTTAGCATGCTAGCATTTGCTAATTAGCATGGAAGTAGCAAAAAAAAAAATCTGTTTATATTTCTACCCTGTTAGGTTCGCGTGTCAGCTAAGTACACATTTGCGATGTAGCACTCAACAATACAAAACTGTACCAAAAGTAAAATTCTTAAAACTATTAAACTAGTAAAACAAGTATTTTATCCAGTTGGAAAAAGTATATAAAAATCCATTAACACGTCCCAATGCTGATCTATGGTCAAACTAAACACAGTGTAATGCTTTGCTCGTAGCTCTCGTGGTGAGCAGCTAACGTTTAAATAAATAAAGTTTAAAAACTGAAACATATTGGGGTTTTTTGTTGATGACTGAAGATAAACTGGTATTTATAATTATATATAAAGTGTATTTATTGTTAGCATTCAACAGTAAGCCGAAGTAGTCTTACCAGGCATTCACGGAATAAATTACGACTAGGTGGGAACAATTTTTGGAAAGTTGGTGGAAATGTTGATAGCCTAAAGGAAATGTTGTGTTGATGGTAATATACTTTTTATTAATTCACATAAGCTATATTTTAGTTGTTTTAGGGAATATGCTAGAGCGACAACAATAATTGGGACAAAACCACAGCTTCAAACTGTTTCAGCAAACTTGGATAACAACATGAATCTTCATTGTTTTAACGATATGAGAAATAAAATACAACACATCTTCTGTGTAGCATCCACATAATATCCACTTAAAGCTCATTTACAGACCAAAGTCAGGAAACGGGACCATCTGAGGAGCAAGCACATGCTAACAAAACCTCATAGGAGGTGTAACCTTAGCTGCTAAAACCTTAGCCAATTACATGTTAATTATTTCATAACAGAGGCACTGAGAAGGACAACTAGTGGCTCATTATCTTAGCAAGCTGTAAGCTAACATAGCTAATTTGAAGTTTGAAGCTCAGCTAGGATCGTTACCCTTTGTAAAACTTTATATAAGTTGTCTGTGATTTATTTATTACGACAGAGTATTAGGGCCATACTAAGAGAAAAAAATATTATTATTTTTTGGAAATTACGAGAATAAAGTCATAATATTACGAGAATAAAGTCGTAATATTAGGTCTACGAGAA